AAATCCATATACAGCATCTACAGCTGACTTCTGTCTCCACACACACACACACACACACACACACACACACACACACACACACACACACACACACACACACAGTTAAACAACAATGCTATCGAAAGTGCTTCACACCTGCTCATCATCTTTTTCGGCAATCCCCCCGCTGATACCACTTCCTTCCTCCCATGTTGCACCAGAAGTGGCTGATATTATCATTTCTAGTTCAAAGCCTTCTTGCTGTAAATTGCCTGTAAAGCCTACTCAGGTAACATTTATCTTACCCTTCTCGCCTCCACGGGGCTGCTGGATATTTGTTATTGAAAATACTGTGACAAGTTGAAAGGTGTGAAACTAGTGCTTCCGATCATGCCATCCCGCTTTGGTAGGCCCAGAAAATAAAGCAATCATAATTTGCGACTACATATTATATATTGCCATATTGTTTTGATGATGATGACGGCTTAAGATGCATTAATCTGGATTAATAAGCAGATTACAGTTCTTTGACTGAGTGTAGGTATTCTATTTGTTTTAATCAAGACTACCCACATGATATAGCATTAAATTTTTTTTTAAATTAATCGCTTTTAACTTCATGCCTTTGGTGGGTACACAATATTTAACTGTTCCCCTTTCCAGTTGTAAATAGCTGATTAACTGCATCACTGATTGCAGGTCACAGCTTTTGCTAAATGCCCAGCTGCAGACTGTATACAGCTTATTTCTGTTCTGTTTATACAATATAAACCTCATTTTGTTTGTTGAGATTTGTTAAACCCTAAAATACCATCTGGGTCACTCCTGTCCCAAATAGCTTTATTTTTTTTATTACAGCATTAAATATACTTTTGATGAATTTTACATGCCTAATTAAATGCGGTACAAAAGTCCTCATTTCAAAGGCAGCAATCTGCTCAATAACAGATCATCCTCGTTAAATTGTGTGCAACTCACAGAGTAAGTTATCAAAATATCAAGGTCACAGAGACCAGTTGCTATTCATTTTATTCTCTAATGTTAACTATGCATATTTAATATTCTGCAGCTTTGCTCTCCCTATGCATACACTATGCATAAAGGAAAAAACACCAACAGACATCATAAACATAAACCCTTGCTGTGTCTGCTCGCATCTCCCAATAGAGACCATGACGAATGGATTGATTTTTCCCTCAAAAAAGATTTTTGTAAACTAAGCTTCTTTTTCTGTGTAAGCTGCATGTAAGCAGTAGCAGACAGTTTTCATCTCTTCACACCTGCAGCCTTGAACTATTCCCAACAATGCCAATCTCATGTTTTCTATGTTTATGCATCTAGCAACCATTGAAATTCTCCATCTCCACCCTCATCTAAAACAAGATAAAAAAAAAAATATAGGGAAAAAAAGGAAGCATTTGACTGTGTCCTCCTTCCGCCGAGAAAAAAACATCTAAACCACTTCTAAGAAAAGGCAAAGCTGGAGTACGACTCGCAAAGGCGCAAATAAAGATGGCTCATTTTTAGAAAAGCACTACGTTGTCATTACAAAGTCCATAGTGTTTAACATTTGCCACACCTCCCTCCGACCAAGAGTATGCATCAACCCATAAACTTTTAAACCCAGAAACCCACATTTGGAGCTACTGTTCAATTTTCTCACCAGTGGGGATGCAAATCGTGAGGATTCTTCACTACCTAAAAATAATGTTTTTGTTGACATGTTTTTAAAAAAAGCATGTAGTTCCAACCACTGGACTAACTACAAAACACGCCGTGTACAGTAGTTGACAGAACCAGGCTTTTCATGGAAGGATGAAGGGGAGGGAGGTTAAAAACTAGAAGAAATCTTTGATAGAGCACACTTAAGCATCATAGCCTAGAAGTCTATTTCACCCAGTGAACCATTTCGAGAACAAAAACCACATGGAAATGTGACATTTGTTGTTTCGCTCGTCTATATTAGCCACATTTATCTACCACTTACATACTTCCTTTCATCCTTTGTCATTAGCTAGGTGAAAAAAGTGAAATAGTCATGCTCACTCGTAACAACAATCCAGAAGGAAACTACAAACTCTCATTTAAAAGCTGCTGAGTCTACAGCTTTGCAGAGCGTCTGTTTTCGGTTTGTGTCCAGGCTGGTGCTCACCACACTTGGCAAGCAAAGGAAACCTCACTCCTGACCCTGGAGAGTAGTTAACTGCCTATCAAGTAAAAACAAGGAACTAATGTTAGCATTATCAGCAAGGGAGGAAGGCCTTTTTTCTTAGGCATGTGACGTTTGAACTATAAAACACACAGCAAGGTGTTGCTATCGCCTCAGGACGATTCACACTCTGACAGCAGTTGCAGCCACCTCTGGTTGAAGTGCTGACAGGCAACCAGTTAGTACTCAAAGATGGGTTAGTCCTGTATTCTGGCTTAAGGACAGTGTCTTTGTTAGCTCCTCAAAATGCTGTCAAAGGATGACTTCCCTTTGAAACATTTAGTCATGAGCCCAATTAACAGGCTAGAAGGAATAACTACACATGTAATCAAGGAGTTTTTTGAGTCATGTGTGGGTTTTCCGTATTCATCAATGCCATTTTTCATTGCAACCCACTGCCTCCTCATTAGCTTTGTATGAATTCTGAAGATGACACTGAGCAATTTCAGAAGAACAGTCTTCCCTTGATTTTGCAGGGTAATTGCTTATAATAAAAAAAACTAGGTCAAAAATGAAAGAGACTTTGAGAATTAGATCCAACTTTTACACCTGGTAAATTACCGTGCAAAGAGATCCTGATTTTTGGATTGGCTGTCAGAAAACAATCAGATACAAACAAAGTCCTCTAAAGTTGAAAAAGTAGGTCAGACACTGATAATCAACCTCTTGATTTAAACGTGAAATAACGAATCTGAAGTTGTCCTCCAGCCTTTCCGGAAGAGAATTTAAAAAAATGACTGTAACAGATATAAGTGAGTTATAAGTGATTTACAAGTGAGCACTTTTATACCAGCAATAATGTTGTTGAATTATACAATTCCTGATTGAAACCATCCATCCATTTTCTTCACTGTTTAAATCGCATGGCTGATTTAAATGGTCTCTACTTATCTACACTAAACTCAATTATGGATATTTCTAGAGGGTTAACAATCAAAAGCTTAAAGAACCTAGCCTTCTGATGGTTGCAGTAGGTGGACATTGTCAGTTAGCAAAGCAACATCACTTTGAATGTTAACAGGTAAACTCAAAACGTTACAAATAATGTAAAGATTCACCGTTTAAGTAAAACAAACAGAGATCTAGCAACCAGCTTTTGCACCTGTAATCATAGAACCTAGGGTTACAGTAAGTAACCAATCCCACAAATCCCTTCCTTTCGCATGTTTGCGAAATGATATCACAAAATTGTAACATTACCTTGTCAATGCGATGGACACTACGCCAAAGTGGAAACAGAAAGGCTCAAAGACCCAAACAAACTAAAGTGGAAAAACAGCCGTGATATTTCTATCAGCACCAAGAGAGCAAAAAGCACCAGATTTTTTACATTAAATGAGTTAAGCTGTCTTGACACCAGTTCAAATGCACTCACAACTCTTTTTGAAAACTTTGCATTGAACCTTTGTCAGCTGCCACCTGCTTTTTTTTTGTTTGTTCAACCTTTCTTGTCACTCACTGCTTCGGAAAAAGCAGAAACATTACTTCAAAACACCATCCTTTATGAAAGAGCAGCGTGCCCCGGAGCGAGGAGGCAGCATTATGAAAGGGAACATGGCCCCTGGCTCTTCAGCTGAGGCCCGGGTCAGAGCAGAGAGCTAAAGTAGTAATTACTGAGAGACTGATTGCTGACAGGACCTTCCAACAGCCTGTGGTTAACTGGATGGAGCTGAGGGGGAGGAAGCATCAAATGCACAGGCCTGACAGATGCTCTGCTGATGACTCGTACTTCAGGGTGGTTCGGGGCATGCATGCCATTTTGCTTTATTCATTCTTCTTTTAAAAGTCACTGAAAAACAGAATATTTGAGCTTCTTCACTTTTGCTAGTTTTTGACATTTCTTTTGAGCCACGATGCAGAGATACAGATAAGGTGGGAGCAAATTAACTTAAAGTATATGAATTCATTTTGTTAAAGAACTTTGTCATTGAACATCCTTAGAAGCCCAGATCTGCCGTCAGAGGCAGTTACCTCCTCTGCGTTATTTAAAAATTCCCCCCCTGCTAATTTTTTAAGAGTAAATGCAATTTCTTCCAAATGGCAGATTTATTTTTGAAGTGAAACTCTTCAAAAAGCAAGAGACGAGTTCTCCTTAAACAGATCAGAGCCCACTTCACTGAGAGTGGGAGCAATGTGTGATTGTGGCAGGCAACACATTGCCACAACTGGTAGAGTGCACCATTTTCCAACTGGATTATGCCAGTTTCTTGCTCAGGGTGGTCATTTGAGAGCCCGTGGCTCATTCATCATGACCATATGGATGTTACAACCTGGTATTTTAGCCAACCAATTTATGCCATCAGTGCGCCTGGTTGATTTTGCTGCGGTGACGGAGATGGCTGTATTTACATTGGACAGAAGCGACCGTTTCACTGATTCACTGACTCTCAAATGCCTTTTGTGTGAATTTATTTGATTTCCACTGATTGTGTACGCTTGGACAGTGGAATAAGCATGTTTTGACATATGTTTTTATCAAATACTCTGTGGTCTCTTACAGATCTGCAGTGGCAACTAGCTCTGAAACATGAGGCGGTAGCAACAATGCCCACATTACATGCAACCAAGCAAACAAAGGATGTGACTGGGTATTTGAATATCATTCTACTGTTCAAAAACATGGACAAGCTGACCAAAAATGTTTGAATGTGACCATTTCTGCCAATTTTGCAAACCAAAAACAAATTTCTTTCATTGAAGTGGAGCAAAATTGTGAGCTTGTCACGGTTAAACAGAGACTGGGTTTCATTAAACACATGCTGGTGTACTCTATGGGTCTGAGTCACTAAACCCAGCTGCCAAACTAACTTACCTCTGATGGTTTCTTGTGCTGGTGGCGGACCCATGTGCTGCTGGTGCCCGTATTCTTGGATGACCTGGACCACGACGTCACTTGACCTGCAGGAATAACAAAGACAGCAATGATACCACAGTCAGTGTAAGTATGTGAATTCTTTTTAGAGTTTCTAGTTTTGCTCTTCTCCTCTGCTCTCAGTTTAACACCTTATCTCACCATGTGCTCTACTCCAGAGCCGAACGAAGTTAATTTGGGAAAAAAACAAACAAAAAACAAAGTTGCCATACTATTTTAGAACCTGAAATTACCAGAACTGGTTATAATGGAGGAGTTTAAGTCCCTTTCAAAGGAATGAAAAAATAGCACACTTGGCAAACACTCTTGAAACACATTTGGGCACCTTTTTGGGCGTTTATCTTGAAGCATTATCTAAACAGACTTTAGTTTCCACTTGCATCTATATAATCAGCAGTGAAATGTCATCAAAACGAGAGCGTGAGCTCATCCAGCTCACAACCCATCATAATTCCCAGGTTGTTGTAATGTGTGATGCACAGAAAGACGTTTTCTTCGAAAGCCCCAATCACACCTTCTCAATGTTATTGTCAATCAACAGAAGTACTTCCTCCATGAATATGATCAATAAAACCATAATCGTCACCATCGAACAGGATACAACAGGTGTAGCACAGTGATATTTCGAGCCACTGCATCATTTGATATTTCATCAAGTTTCTTTATCCTTTAGTGCAAAATGTATCAATACTGAATCTTATCTAATCTTTCTCTAAAATCACTGTCTTCTTCTTTCGACGGCTCACTTTAACGGTCTTCGGCTCCACCGCCTGTCTTTTTGTGTCACCGTCTCTGAACCACACATCATAGCAGGTCTCACTACCATCTTGTAAACCCTCCCTTTCACTCTTGCTCTTCTTCCTCCTTCTGTCACAAATCCCTCCTGACTCTCACATCCACCAACTCACTGCTGCCTGTACTCTCTTCTTCATCTTTCTCGTGCACTGTCCATTGCTTTGGATGGTTTACCCCAGCTCAACCCTCATCCACTGCATCTACTCCTTCTTCACTGACACACCTGTCTACCTCTTTTTCACACGTGTATTCTGCTCTCTACTCTCACTACAGATCACAATGTCATGTACAAACATCACAGTCCATGGAGATGTGTTAACCCGTCCATCACCACTAGAAACAACAGAGTGCTCAGAGCCAATCCCTGATGTAATCCCATACCCACCTAATCATTCCAACAGCACACTGTCTCACTGTCCTCATACATGTCCTGGACCACCCTCACATACTTCTCTGCTACTCCTGACTTCCTCATGCAGTACCACAGTATCTCTTGGCACTCCATCATATGCCTTTTCTAGATCCACAAAAACAGTGCAGCTCCTTCTGATCTTCTCAATCAACATTCTTTGACCAAACATCATATCTGTAATTCTCTTTCTCAGCACGAAGTCATACTGTTCACTGATCACCTCTCTCCTTAACCTACCTTCAACAGCTCTTTCCCATATCTTCATGCTATGATTCATCAGCTTTATCCCACTGCAGTCACAGCTCTGCACATCACTCTTGTCCTTTACAATCGGTACTAGTACCAACCTCTCACCTAGACCTCCATGTATGTCATCAGTTACGTCACTAGGACCGTCTATCCACTCTTTGTCCTCTTCATAGGTGCACTCACTTCTTCTTTACTGCACTTGCCCATTTATTAACGTTCCTCCATCTTTCCTCCTCTCTTTTGCTCTCTCTCTGATTTTCTTCATTTATCTTTGCACCCAAATAAGGTTTTAACTTTTTAAAAACCTTTTAAACTCCTACAACCATTCTTGCTGTAGCAGAATTCACCAGTAGATTTCAATTAAGGATTCAAAAGATGTCTTGAAAGGACTGCACAGAAAGTTGTTTGCTATTAATTGCATTTATTGCAATAAAAACATTCTAACAAGTGTTAATCTATTCAAAACAGAGAGAATGACATTCGTAAATGTATCTTTGAAATCTGCCCTCCTGGATGCCACAAAGGAGACAACCTACCGAAGAGCTGCAAACATCTTTTTCGCTACTCAGTGAAGTTTTCTGCTGAGGACCAGAGGAGAAAACATCAATATTTTTTTTTTCTGGCAGACAAATTAGCCTTTTCTGACCTTCCTTTTCTGACTCACAGCTGGAAAGAAGGGAGTGTTTCAAGTCTTCATTCATCTGGATCAGAACACAAAGCCAACTTAATCTGCGTTTGATTTGTCAAGAATGTTTAATGAGTGTGAATGTTGATTTAAAGTGGGGAAAATGAGGAACAGGTCTCTGGCTGTAGATTGGACTTCGAGCGCACAGCGTGTGCTGAAATTCACGCCAAAGAAATTTTATGGAGAAATTTGTTTTGCAGAGAGGGTTTACAATAAAACGATAATACTTTTTTGTTGTTTCTTTAAACACTGTTAGCCAGCACCAACCGGCGGGGAATCGGTTACTTATTAGAGAGCAAGAAGCTGCTCATCAAAGGTTCTTAAAATGAGCATGCGATGGGGTTCAATACTTTTGTAATTCACACCAGTGGAGGTGATTCAAACGCAGCAGAGAAGCATTTAAAGAAAGCAGCCAAACAAAAACCTTCTTTGTGACTTTGAACGCCCGTGGCAGCACTACCACTATGAGTCAGACCTTTAATTGAAGCAGACTGATGATGATCTATTAAAAGCTTTAATAAGTAATGGCCGCATAAATAGCATCTTGTTAAGCGGTTAGTCCACTGTGGTCCTTTACAACCTTATTAATACACAACCTAATTGCAATTAACCAGACACCGGAGCCAATATCCCACCCACCGCTTCAATCAACAGCTGTGTGTGTGTGCGCACACCTCTTTCCAAGTGTGCCTGTACATGTTTGTGAATGGAGGCCAAACCGATTGAGGAAAAGATGCCCCTTATGCTGTTTCCTAAATTTAAAATAAATAAACCCCAAATCCTCCTGCGACACTTTTCTCGTGTGACCATAAGAAACTCACTAAAAATTGGATCGAATCTGCAATTAAATTATATCACACGCATAATGGATAAAACATAAAATCGACACAACATTCTGCGATTTAACATCTGCGACCGTGACTTTATGCGAGTGTGCATGCGTGCGCTGCCTCCCACTCAACATATTTCCCTTTCCACAACAGCAGTGCTGCCACCCCGCTAATGTTGCTCATGACGTCTGAGGAGCAAACTGCGCTGAGAGCCTCTCTTCAAAAATCACCAACACCACACACACACACACACACACATACACACACACACACACACACACACACACACACACACACACACACACAAAAAGACACACTGTATTGGAAGCCACTAACACATCAATGTTCCTACATTTTTTCACCATACACAGTTTGCCTACATTGTCAGTCATTACAGCACACACACAGACATATTTGTGTGTGATCTTTTCCTCTTTAACGGTCCGCTCTACTTACAGATTGACACACTACAATAATACAAAGAAAACAGAGAAAACCCCAATAATTATATGACCTCCCCCAAACAAGCACTTTGGCGACAGTGGGAAGGAAAAAACCCTTTTTTAACAGGAAGAAACCTTCAGCAGAACCAACCTCAGGCAGGGAGGGGCATCGGCCGTGACCGGTTGGAGTGAGGGCATCTCAGAGGAAAAAGTGCAAACAGAAGTTGCACTGAAAGTGGTCCAGAGATGCAAGATACAGAGCGCTTCAAGGGAATGTCAACACAATATTCAAAATCAGCTCATACAAACTTGATTTAGACATAACGCAGTCCCAGAACGTCTTTATTTTTGGCCTTTCCGGCTTTATTTGTTTTGCTTAAGGAATAGACAAGAAAGAGGGGGAAAGACCAGGGTAGGTAGTAAAGGGACAGTCGGGCCCTTTGGATTTCAGCAATAAGGTATTTGGGTGCTTGCTGGACAAACGAGCTAGAGTGACTGCCAGAACTTCTTGACTGCACCTTCAAATATGAATCCTTCTGTTTCTTTTCTAAGGTGTAGGCCAGGAGTCCCCAACCTTTTTTGCACCACGGACCGGTTTATGTCCGACAATATTTCCACGGACTGGCCTTTAAGGTGTTGCGGATAAATACAACAAAATAACACCAGTACCGATACCAAAAAAAGAGGAGATTTATTCATAACACAAGGGAAAATACCTGGGGAAACTGAGTTAACAATAAAAACAATTTAAAAAATTACAATAAAAACCCTGAAAACCATAAATTTTACACCCGAGCCTCAACTCTCACGGCCCGGTACCAAACGGCAGGGGTTGGGGACCGCTGGCGTAGATTCACAGTGTGCTTACCTTACAGGCTGATATAGGACACAGCGTGTGGTGCTGTATGTATATACAGTATCTGTGTCAGACAGAACCAGCCTTCATTCTTCAAAGTTAAACTGGGCAGTTAGATCCTAGAACGGCCAAGAATCTGTTATTAGTTTTTTAATCATACATCTCAGTCGCAACATCGTTTGACACCTACACAGCAGCAGCCTCCACCGCAAGCATCAAAAAAGCCAAACAGCTTCCAGAAGTCCGATGATGAATGACACCTCACTCAGACACCGCTGATTTTCTTGTCCACCATTCTCTGTTTAGTACTGTGTTCCATGCGTGTAAGCGTCGAGGGTATAAAAACAGACTGCACACTAATCTGTTAAGGATTTTTTACATTTACTCATGAATCTGCACTCCTCAAGAATGTGTGTGTCCAGGCAGGTTACATCTACACGTGCCCAACATAGTGCAGCTGCAGAGCTCAATCACTGTGGCCAGATAACCAAAACAGGCCGCGGCGCAGTTGGAAGTTACCATCGTGGCCGCGTGTTAATTAAAAGCCACGCTGGATGCACAGCAGCCAAAATTATCATGGGCATCCTTCAATTAGAAACCTGATAACCTCCAGTGAGCAGATGCAGCTGGAGCCCACACTGCAGTGAGCAGGGGAAGCTAACAGCTAAAGGCTGATTATAAAGCAAAGTGCATGGCCTCCAACGCGGGGTGGCTCGGTCACGTCTGCAAAACAGCCTGTTAAACCTGTTGTAAAATGCATTATACACGCGGGGCTGTGACCACACAACAGTTAAGCCCTTCAGAGGTCATTTTAGCCTGTAGTGTAAACAGTTTGAATGACTACATTTCCCAGATTTAATCCGGCTGCAGATCCCCACTGATCAGCCATGACTATACTACCTGTCTAATATTGTGTACGGCTACGCCTCGTGCTGCCAAAACATCCTGGACGCCTCGATGCATGGGCATAACACATCTTGGGTGTCCTGTGGCGTCTACCGCTGTGAAGTTGGCAGCAGTTTCTTTGGGTCCTGTGGGTTGTGGGTGGGGCATCCAGGGATCGGGCCTGTTCCGGTGCATCTGGCAGATGTTCAGAATTTGGAATTTAAAGGCTGCAACCAGGCTCTTTGTTGTGTTCCTCAAGACATTCCTGACGCCCGCTGTCTTGCTGTGGCGAAGGCCCCTGTCATCGAGGAGTTCCACTGCAATGTTTGGTCAGCGGCAGTATTTAAATTGGCGGTATGTGTGAAAGAACATTTGCATGAATTCCACAGTCCAAGATTTCTCAGCACACTGGAGCTCAATGAGAAGGTATTAAAAGTACTGACAATTCTTCCTGATCAGATCCCTGCTTAAGCTTCTAGAGTAATGTCAGTGCTTCTCTTTATCTAATCTCTTCTATCACTACAGTTCCATTTATATTAAGCTGAAATACCAAACTGGATTTAATTCCAGAAAAAGATCACAAATGAAAATATTTTGCTCTGGCGTACACACAAATGTACCACAAGATGGGTGAGAATACTTTTATCATTATAGTTTTCAAGGCACCACGCTGTGAAAGGATAACTCTTTTATTTATACTCATTTAGACAAGCATTAAAATAATATCTGAAAACCTCATTAGCGCAGCCGGGTTTAGCGACACCAAAACAAATGCCAGGTTCTGTTGTTTTTTTTTAATTGTACAGCTCGCTTTCTGATGTGTCTAATTTTGATCTGTTCTCTAATATTGCCAAGGGAATAGCCAAACAAATATATTTGCTTACTGCAAAAATGCGTGCCGCGAAAATGCCAAGAATTAGTCACACTGAACTGACAAAAGCCGAGAAGAATGACATTTAAAATGAAATTGAAATCGCTGGCTGTCTTCAGTGAATAAACCCTCGTATTTTAAAGACAGTCATCAGCTGTTGTGGCCATTTGTGCTTGTATAACAACGTATTTCATTCGAAGACTGTTAAAAGATTCATTTCTCTACAGAAGCTGCCAGTGTCAGACATGCGGTAGTCTGGCCAGATGTTCCTATCCTCTCGTCTTAGAGGATTGCCTGTCTGCTCGTCTTAGAAGTTGTTTGAGTTTGTGTCATTAACTCTGGGAGGAAAACATATCTGCCACTCCGTCAAACCATGCATCCCACCCTATAATATCAATTTGTCACTCAGCTAATTAACTATGTGCTCAACATTAAATGTAAAGCACACAAGGCCAGACATAACTGCAAAATGCAAATGTGACATGTCCGCTTTATTGACTTTGAGTCTGCGTGTATTAAGCACCTTATTTAGTAAAGTGGGGAGCTCAAACACATCCAGAACTGACATCCAGACATGCCCTGCAAGCAAAAGACGGCTTTGTCTGAGATATCTAAGTCCAGATATTAATAAAGAACCAAACCTGATGCACGCCAAAACATTGTGAGCTGAATCTACTTTTTCGGTGGTGATAAAGAGATGCCAACCTCAGCAGAGGTTGGCAAAGGCGTGAGAATTGACGCGATAATGCAGCTTCTGAAAAGAAAAAAAAAAGAGCGTGGTTGCAGTTTGTGGTGTGTTTACTGACATAGTTCATCAAGTTCAACTGCACTCAAACGCAACTTCCAACTTTGTTTTTAATAATTCGTATCGTAATAAACAGCATCAACTTGATTTCCCCGGAGAGATCAGGGTTTATCTGGATCTGCACATCTTCTCTTTACTTTAACAAAGTATTACAAGACTTAAATACACAGACCTTTGTACCAGTTAGAGAAATTGGAAAAGACACAAGGGACTGTACAATATACAGTCAAGTACAGATCTTAGCTCCACTGAAATGTTGTGGGTGGACCTGAAACTGATGATACGTGCAAGAAAACCCTCAAGGTTTTGCAAATAATGGAACTTTGCATGGGAAGAATGGTTAAAATGTCACACGCAGGGGGACATCCATCTATCTTCCTAACTTCTTATCCGATTCAAGGTCGTGGGGGCTGGAGACTATCCTAGCTGTCATGAGGCGAAAGGTCAGATACACCCTGGAGGGGTAATCCAGTGCCCCTTTATGGCCCAGCCAGAGAGACAGATAACAAGTCATACGGTCAAAGCAATCTCCAGTTAAGCTAAAACACAAGGCTTTGGACTTTGGGAGAATACCCAGAGAGAATCCACGCAAGCACACGGACAACATGCCCCACGCAGAGGGGTCCTAGCCGACTGAAGGATTTAAACCAGTGTGAGTGAATGGTGATAACCACTGGATCAACATGCAATTATACAAAACACCTACAAGAAGGTTTTTCTGTTAAAAGGGACAAGACGAGCCTCCGAGACCCCCAAGTCGTACTTACTACACAGATGGCTGTTTTGTGTTGCATAAACTGAAAAAGATGGCTTTCCTTGTGGTATTGCCCAAGTAAACCACCTGTATTTGCAGGCTCCGTTTCAAAATGCCTCAAATTTTGCAATCTGCTCGTCCAGTAATGATGCACCACAATCTGTTTTCGTAGCAACATCTCTCTCAAAGAACGACATTTTCCGACAAATTCGCACTTATTCTAAAAATAAAGACTTTATTCTTCAAACCTTAAGTTCTTATTCCCACCGGTGATTTCTGTTATGCTAACTGGTTAAATCGCGCTCATGTTTCCAGTGTAGCTCGGTTTTAAAATGGCAAGTCTTAATGAGCAGAGGGAGGACAACCATGAGACAGGAGGAAAGTCTATATGGAGAGTGAATACGAGAATTGGGAATTGACGAAGACCAGGCAGCTCACCGTATAAAAGCAGCAGAGGAACTCGCTTTTCTCACACTTTCAGGATTCCATCGTCACACACACACACACACACACACACACACACACACACACACACACACACACACACACACACACACACACACACCCTTTCCCTGAATCCCAACTTACTGTCAGTGGTGTCAGAGTCGTTGCTGCTCGTGGAGTATTTTCTCCTCTTCTTTTCGCTCTCCATCTGTTAGGGGGGTGGCAGGCAGGCAGGCAGGCAGGCGGGCAGGGAGGGAGGGAGGGAGGGGGGCAAGAGAGAGAGAGAAAAATGACGAGTGAGAAGATGTTCACCATGAAAACACAAGTGTTAATGAAATAATGTGCTGATGGCACCAATCTGTCAGAGCCTCCAGCAGGCAGCCTGCCAGAATAAACTGACTTGATCACCGTTACACATTAGCACTTTGGACTCCCTGGGATACAGTTGTTCCATTTTTCCTCCCACCACCCCACAACCACCACCACCACACATACAGAGGGAATCCTTGTACTAGTCGACAATGAATCCATCCTTTTATTAGCCTTGTATTCACTGCCAGCTTTGGCACAAGACCCTTTCTTATGCATCTGTTTCAATACTGAAGGTACTCCTTTCTTCATTATAATGGAGTGAAACCAAATCAAGTGAGAGCAAAAAAAAAAAAAAAAAAACAGGCTTCTCTCATCCAGATAAAATCTAGGACGCTTTCTAAAGCTCTAAGCAGCTGTGTTTCTTTGTGATAAAGCGCACTAAAAAGCAACCTCTATCATCTGGACATCTCTTTCTAATAACAGCATTATGTTCATTTGTCACCTTATCTTTCTAATTCTAAGATAAGCACTGAAAACTAAAATTGAGCTTTGGGCCGCTATTCAGTTTGATCCAGAAGGAATTTGTTCTACTGCAAAGTCACAGCAGTGTTTTAGTGATGGGATTAAAACCTGCTTTCACTCAGTGATGTTTTTTTAAAGAAGTGGGGAAGCAAGCTGTAAAGGCATAGAAGATTATGAGATTTTTGACCACCTTTCGCTTTGTCCTGCAACATTTTTCAATTTCCTTCAAATCCACTGGGAGCCTTCTGTACTAAGAGACGCAAAGGCGCACAAGAGCAAAGCAACTCAGTGCCGATTCCTGCACATTTTCAGTTTTACTGATTGTGGGGTTAAAGGAGCTTGGAAAGAAAAGCGTCTGGACTTCTTTAAGTTGCTTGAAGACGTTTCACCTCTCATCCGAGAAGCTTCTTCAGTTCTAAGGTCAAATGGTGGAGAGTCGCATGATAAGGTGGGGCCAGGTTTCACAATGAACACACCCGAAACTCTGGCTGATTGGGACCCACGCCCAGTTTCACACCTTGGCTCAGGCGATTAGAGGATCATCAGGGGGTCCTTTTGTCCCTCTGTGGGGGGATACTCCCACTAGGTTTATATCTGGGACTCTCCACCATTTGACCTTAGAACTGAAGAAGCTTCTCGGATGAGAGGTGAAACGTCTTCAAGTAACTTAAAGAAGTCCAGACGCTTTTCTTTCCAAGCTCCTTTGACTACGATGACCTGGATGACTGAGAGTGAAAGGAGTGAAAGTCAGTAGAAACAAGACAGAATACATGTGTGCGAAATAGAGGGAGGTGTAATGATGAAGATTACCTGGGGTCAACCATCCAAAGCAACAAGAGAGGTAAAGAAGAGAGCGCAGGCAGGTTGGTGAGGGTGGACACGAGTGTAGTGGGGGAGGGGGGGGGGATGTTTGACAGCAAGAGTTAAAGGGAAGGTCTACAAAATGCTTACGAGTTTAAAAGACCAGGATGAGCATCAGAGTACGTGAGAGGGACAGCTCAGGTTGAACCATTTGGAGACAACGCTGGTGAGGCAAGGCTGAGATGGCTTGGATGTGCACAGAGGAGGTGTAGTGGATATATTCAACAAAGGATATTAAATTTTGAGTTGTCAGGCGGGAGGAAAAAAGGAAGTTCACAGCAGAGGTTCACGGATATAGTGAAGAAGGATGTGCAGAGGGTGGTTGAGACAGAAGAGGATGCCAGGGGGGAATCAGAAGAAGATGAAGTTGAAGGAAAAAGAAGAAGAGTTGACAAAGAGGTATACGGTGCTCTACCGAAACCTCCTCGCTACTGCTTTGCAGATGTTTGTATATGAGGCAGTGATTTGCCTGCAAACAGTCATCAACAGTAATCAAAATGTGAAAAGTGCGACAGAAACATCTGCCTTCAAAGTAAAGCTTTCGAAACATGTTTGCAATACTAAGGAACAACTTGTACAATGAAAGTGTTTCTAATTTTCACAGCTTCACTACCGCTCAACAAGTAGCGGCGGGAGGTTAACAAAAAAATCATGCGGTGGTCTTTAGGTCTAAAAGACCAACAAACAGAAACTAAAGGGAGCAAGGTAACGTAAACAGACTGGAAGTAAAAGCATATTTCTATAGAAATTCTCCGCTTTGTGTTGTTTTTTGAAGATCGGAAACGCCTTCGATGTGCTTATATGACGTAAAAGACTGCAAACACTCGATATAAGCGAGAAAACTCCAAAGGACTCCTTCATCTTATGAGAACCAAGAATACAGAAAGTTTGCCTCCTCCGCAAAAAGACTGCAAAACACTTGAGTCATAAAGGATATCGCTCAACATGAATAGGCCCCTGCCAAGAGATCAGCTTACTGTACATAACACAGCAGATGCATTTAGTGTATCAGGGAGATACTCAACTTTATTATCTAACAACCGTTAATTTCAGATGTAACCATTTCAAGCTGGTTTTATTTTTTAATTAGAACAGATACATGCAGTGCAAATTTAAAAGCCACCGGGTACCCATATCCACAGTAGCCTTCCAATTATGTAATTTAGCTTCTTATGTATATTACAGCAAGCATCTGCCTTGCTGTAATATACATACATAATAAAGCCCCCTCAGGCTTTATTAATGATTCTAATATTGAAATTGAAATATTTATTTCAATTCAAATTCAAAATACTGTTAAATAACTTTTTTGTCGATTTCAAATATTTAGCCAAAAATTGGTTTTGATTTGCCAACAAAAGTTTCCCGTTAAGCAACTTTGTAAATAAACGTATCCCTTTGAAGCCAAATGTATATTTGATACATGAGGTTTTGCGACTTCTACACCATGAGATGTAAAAGGAGCTAAATAAATGGCACATTTTATGCAAAAAAAAGATTGAAAACAAATTAAAAAATAACATATTCAACAAATTACTTTTTTTATTTTAGTCAAAAGGTTCAATAAACACTCCATTTAAAAATATCTGGAGACCCTCTTTTCGTAATGAAATAAACTATGTGTTTATAATATTTGTGAACGCTCTAGAGGAAATTGCATTCTTCACTCAAGCAAAGAGATTGACAGTCTGTGTCGTGTCAAAAATCACTTAAGCTTCGGCATCTTTTGCCACCCTGAATTTGAGCATTTCTTAATTGTAAAATGTGGGCAAAGATCAGAAGGAACCCACAGGCATGAAAGTCAAAATGCTGTCAGATCAGCACACAAATAAATGCAAAGTCAGACACATAAATGTTAACGATGGTATACTATAATGAGAGACTAAAAATAAAGCTTACTTTCACAAACTGAGTTTAATTTAAAATCCATCTCTGGCTAGAATCGAATAGAAAGAATAGTGAAGAGAAAAAGGGGGTGGGGACAAACAGCCCAATAAAATGTTGTTAATCTATTGCCTGCTGTTAGCTTGAGGGTCAAAGGGGAAAAAAGAGGGTATAGGTCAAGAGAGTCTGAAGGAGACAGAGACTGAGCTAAAGAAAAAGGAAAAGATAAAGTCCAGAAAAAAGGGGTTTTAGCGTATTTCCAAACTGAAGGAGGAAGCCTAAAAGAGGAGCTGTCTTACAACCTTCAGAGTGGGGAGGAGAGATTTATGTGCCAGTAAAACTGGGCTATTCCCTCTTAAATGGGGCTCTTCCTGTAGCCTGGCCTCCCCGCCTGTCCTGCACACACTTAAGTACTCTGACATTTATGCTGACGAAAACAAAAAAAACAAAAAAACGCCGCGCTTCTTTGCTGCCTGTGACCATTTCCACTCCAGAGTCCTGCCATTTCACTCTTCCCCTCTTCCTCCCCCCTTCCCGTCTTTACTTGCCTTACAATAACAGGGACACGGAGTCTGTGGAGTAAGGTTAAGTACATTATTGACTTCCTCAACCTCTGTTGCCTTTCTCTCTCTCACCGTCTTTCCACCTCTTCCCATCTGTCTAGCTTTACCTCGTCTTCCTGCCTTTGAGGGGAGTTGTTAAGTACATCACCGACTTCCTCCGGCTACGACTGTCTGACTTCGAGTCTGCACGCTTGGATCCATCTCAGGGTTTCCCCTCGCCTATTAAACTCGCAGACGACCCACTTAAACCACGCTCGGGCTACCAATGCGTTTTGGTTTTTTTCTTTCTTTCCATGTGCAGCTCAGTCATTTCTCTCCTGACCGCTTACAGGAAAATGTCAACGCTGAGAAAATAAGACATAAAATAAGTTTGAGGGTCTATGTTTTACACCAACCTGCTAAATGAGTCATTTTGGGAGTGTTTTAAAGCAACTGCAACAGAGACATTTTGAGGCACGGGCTCGAATAAGCACAAAGATTCAGAGCTTGAGCTTCAGACGACCTGGTTTGCGGTTTGAGCACTAAAAACAACCAGGTGTCTCTCTTGTAAAACGCTGATTTTTATTCGATTTATTTATTTTTCTGTGCGAGTTGAGCAAACCACAGCGTGTGCGCATTAGCATCTCCTTTTCCAGCTGCCTAATAACACACACAGTGATGTCGCTCAACAGCCTGACCAAAGATCAACAGCAGGAGCTGGTGATGACAAGAACGAGGTGGTAAACCCAAACTGAATGAAAACACACCAAGAAGAAGGTGCAGAGCGTACGTCAGGAAACCTTTTGCAGGTGCTCGATCACAAAAAAAAAAAAAAGTCGAGAGACACAAAACGATTATTCACTGGATCCCACGAGAGTTTAAAGAGCATCAATCAAGGTATGCAAAATGTCCTGGCATTTTAAAATGTCTACAAGGACATCTCATACTACAGCTCTACCAGTGCACTGAAAAGAAACTAACTGGATTAATTTACAGCATGATTGGGTATAAAAAGAGCATCTTAGAGAGGGAGAGCTTCTCTGAAGTAAAGATGAGCAGCAGTCCCTCACTCTGAAAAAAAAAAGAA